GGTTAGGCTGTGTCCAGTGCAGCTAGGCTGTGTCACATACACGGTTAGGCTGTGTCCAGTGCAGTTAGGCTGTATCACATACACAGTTAGGCTGTGTGCAGTCCACTTAGGCTGTGTCATGAACACAGTTATGCTGTGTGCAGTGCAGTTAGCCTGTGTCACATACACAGAGTGTGTGCACTGTAGTTAGGCTTTCACATACACAGTTTGGTTGTGTGCAGTGCAGTTAGGCTGTGGCACATACACGATTAGGCTGTGTGCACTGCAGTTAGGCTGTGTCACAAACACTGTTACGCTGTGTGCAGTGCAGTTAGTCACAGTGTAGCACTGGAGACGGGCAAACTGTCGAGGCCTTAATTTAGCAACCACTACAAAATGTAGTAATGACTGTCACTGAGAAATAACTAGCCTATAAATTCATATATTCACTCTGTAGACAGAGAGGGGGCGTGGCTTCAGGAAACATCAATAATAAAAACACACATGCACAATGATAGTCTGATATCTGCCACTTAAGTCTAATGTTAGTTATATTCCACTATAAGATCTAATGTCTAAGGGGAGCACCTACATAAATGATACAAAATGACATGGTGGAATAATGTGTAAAAATAATACATCTCTATCTTTAAAATAATACAGGCTATTGATTGTGTTGTAATCCCCAACGCATCCTGTTTCCTGTATGGCTGGATCTGAACATCGTCTCTGAATAAATAAAAACTAAATAAAGCTGTCAACAAGGCCGAGTTCTCAGTGTGAACAGCTAAGTCTTTCTTAGAAAATGTTGACTATAACAATATACAATAGCAGGGCCAGCCCCACCCTTTTCAGGGCCTTAAGCGAAATGTGATTAACCTGGTTGTCATTTGTCATCGCCATTCTGACAGGCTGGTGAGATGGGGGGCCCCCTGGTGGCCGCTGGGCTCTAAGCAGCAGTTTTACTAGCTTATACCTCATGTGGACCCTGAATAGAAGCCTAATGAATTTATACAGTGTGAAAATTTTACAGATTTTCTTAGTGACAAGATTTTTTAAATGATCGTGTGGATATTGTGTTTTTGAATTATTACTGGGGAAGGTTCTAGACTTTGGTTGCTGCCATCATTACGGAAAAAAATGCAGTTATTTCCCCAGTGTGTCATGTTGGTGCGAGTAGTTTTGGGCGAGAACTGGGATGGGTTTAAATGCCAGACAGTGCAGTGCAGACGCTGCCCCAGGGCCAACCTAAGCTGAATGCCTAAACCAACCCAGGCGCCTGGCCTGTACCTGTCTCTCTGCAGCACGTCTGAAAACACCCATGTGACGCTTGTCCCCATGCAGATCCACCTGTCATTATTTCATAAACTCGGGCCTATTTGACAATTTGCAAACTGCCCTCTGCTACCCACAAGCTTTTTCCATTACTACAGCCCACATATAAAAACGACCAGAGATTGTCAACATTATACACACAGTGCTCTTAAATGCTCATATTCTGTTTTAAAACCTGCCATGATGATTCGCTTTTCTTGAGAGAAGCATCACTTGTGTTTGTTTATCGACTGGATATTTGGCACCAGGACCAGTGTTCTGACGAGTTGGTTGTATCGGCCCTGCATGCCACTAATTCAGCATGGGGACCTTCCTCTCAGCGTGTGGCTCAGTGGGCTAAGCCTGTGTGCCTGTAATCAGAAGGTTGCCGGTTCAAACCCAGCCTCAGCTCATCTGCAGGTCCTTGAGCAAGGCCCTTAACCCCCAGCTCCCTGGGCGCCCCAACAGGTGGCTGCCCTTCGCATACAGCTTACTCTACAAAGAGCAAGTTGATGGAGGCGTAAAAAGAATTTCCCCATGAGGGACACATAAAGGTTAAATTATTATTCTTATTTAGGGGCCGGAAGTAATACCCTCTCGTCTCTAAACTGTGGTCCTGCTTGTTGCTTTAAACTCGCTCTTCTCCGAAGCAGGTGGGCACCATTTAGACTGTGCTGTCGAGTTAACGTTTACCCAGCGATATCAGGCCGTTTCCTCATAGCTCTGTGAACACTGACAGGTTACCGTGCTGATTGTAACAGCAGACGGAGGGAGGGGAGCCACACGTCCCCACTGCAGGAGCTGCTTAATTAGCCGGGCGGCTGTTACACAGACTCACATTCGTTTCAATGTGCGATGTTTACTCTGTGTAATTGTACAAAATGACGAAACATTAATTACTTTTTTGATGAAATTACTTCTTATTGGGCCTCAGAAAAGATTAATTCTAACAGGGATTATTTCCCGGACGCATACTCTGGGTTTGGGAACTGCTCAGACTGTTCTCCTGCTGTGGAATTAGAGTTCGGGCATCTCGTCACGTAACAATTCCCTCACCTGTAAGTAAGGCAGCACCTTGCACAGGGTCTCCCCGAAGAACCAGGTCTCCGTGATGTCCACCACGAGGCTCGCAGGAAGGCAGGTGATGGTTACCAGGATATCAGCAAAGGCCAGGTTCACGATGAAATAGTTGGTGACGGTCCGCATGTGACGGTTCTTCCACACCGCGATACAGACTGCAGGTGTGAAATGAAGCTACGTCACCCATCTCGTGCCGACATCGCGTTTGATCCTGAAAAGTGTCTGGAAATTCTCTAAAAATTCATTCATGCAATTCGCTGATAGTTGTCAGAATGTGATATAAAAAGCACGTAAATTTGCGGTAACAAATGTAAATATAGGGGAGAGCAGGGACAGTTGCAACATGTGGCAGTTGCAACACTGCAGATTTCTCCAATCAGAAACAAGCTAGAGTTATGACAATCACACTGCAAATGCTCAGTTGCACCCTCCGTCTTTCTGCAAGATTGCAGCCAGTTTTGATCATATCTTCTGGGGGAACCAAAAAGCAAGTTAAGAAAGTAAATTTTTTTATGATCAGAATTTTTCTCATAGTGTCTAAACTGTTTGCATGAAGTATTGTAAAGTTGTATCATTTGAATCTGCAGTTTCTTCGCTTTTAACAGACTTAGAATTAGAATTTAGTGATCAGTGTCAACACACCACAGCACACAGTGCGCAACAACGAAATGCATCCTCTGCATTTGACCCATATGTGACTTTCGTGACATAGCAGGGGGCAGCTAATTCTCCGTGATGTCCGTGACGGGGAGCAGTGCTTGGGGATGGTACCTTGCTCAGGGTACCTCAGTGGTAACGTGCTGGTGAAAGATTCGAACCTGCAATCTTTCAATTACAAGTGCGCCACCCTAACCATCAAGCCACCACTGATGTTTCCAAGCTAATGTGCTAAGCTAGTATAGCTAGTTTAAAAATGGCTGGCCATGTGGGGTCAGTTGCAACGTTTTATTGCAACTCTCCCTCATGACAATAATAATTAAAATTAGATAAAATATATATATAATGTGGTTTTATTGGCTTGATAATTAATACATTTCAATAGTCAGATGTTCCCTCCTGTATATCAATAACTTGCTCTTTGAAAAAGTTAGACTCAGCTGCAAAATTTTCCAAATTATATGTCCTGTTTCTTTTTTTCAGTATGACACGAGACAGGAAGAGAAAAACAGATAGGGGTGTCCCTCTACGCATTCTCAACTTAGCTGCAGAGACAATGCAACTCAAGGCTAACTCAAGAGTTGTGAGTGTAATGCCAGTTGCGTTGTATCAAAAGAACCAAATATGTTTTCACATCATTTTACTGAATGTAACACTAATTCTCAGTCAATTAATATGTGTAGTGTGTAGATCTAAGTCATTTTTAGGAAGTTAAATGGATTTCCATTATCATTTGCTTAATATCACAATTTCATTAATAAGTAACAGAAGTCTATCATTGTGTTTTTGTAAGGATGTTACGTACGCCTATGGTAAATACCAGTTACTGCCTTCTCAACTTTATCAACTCAGTGAACTCAATGAACACTGTCAGATCAAATTAAACAAAAAAAGTGAATAATGTTTGTCAAGAATGATTTTTATTACATTTTAATAAGTGATGCAACTGCCCCTCAGGACTGTTGCAGCCGTCACCCTATGTGGGGACGGTTGCAACGTTTCTCTCTCTCCAGTAAAATGTTATTTACTTCAGTGTTATAATATTTACACATGTTGTAGCAGTATATGGGTTGATAGGTGACAGATGTGGCTTTAATGTATTAAAATTTTGTCTTTCTATTGCAAATAGGCTCTGAGATACTGAAGGAAATGCAAAAAGTGGAGCAACTGTCCCCGCTCTCCCATAAACATCAACAAGGCAGTAGAGTCAGTGTGAGAATAAGCCAGTTTAGACAGTCAAACGTGCCCCGGAATGGAATTTGTAAGAAACCGAGGGGCGGGGATGCACTTATAGGCTACCCATCAGTGTATAATCTGGGTTCATTTCATCCGTTCTCCCCCCAAAAAACATACTTTTACATCTAAATGAATCCTCAGCACTAGCGGAACTGGAAAAGCTCATTATATAAGCTGAAAAGATAAATACGTGGAAATGCCACAATCAAACCGAAGATTAAAAACCTCATATTCTCAGTAACTGCAAATGTATAACCTTGTAGCTTTGAGTGGTTTCAGCAATAATCGCACGGTAACAACGCAACACTTCAGACGTTATAAGACAGTCTCAATTCAGTCTTTTTACAGCTGTAATACAGATGTGTCCACTTTAAAGATCGCCCACTCAAAGATCTTTACATTATTTGACTGAACAGAAAAATTCGTTGATTGGTTCACGTTAGTGGGAAATAATGTGTAGCTTTTGTTTTACTGTTTAAGACAATAGCTTTTACTTTCGATAAATACTACTACGTTAAGAAAACAAGTGACACATGAGCGATAGCCGATTAATTTCACCCTTCTGTATACGATTTGCTCTCTGTCAAGTAATTCGGAGAAGCAGATGACATGGGAAACGCTTTGGGTTAACGGGGAGGGAAATCCGATGTGATTCACCTCTAACTAAAACGTGCACTGTCATTTAGACGAAATGCAGCGTATTCATACGTTAATGGCACAGGTGCATGTCGATTGCTTTTAAATGAGGTCCTCGTGAACTGGTCCTGGCTTCCCCAAAGTCTTTGTTTGTTTACCAGTGCAGTATGCATATTAACCCATTAACGATGCTCATCCCTCAGGTAAAGTAATACAACTTGCAAGGCACGGATCGATACGGATTGGATATAACATTATATACGGCACACTATTTTCCACTACACGTTGTATTTGTTCATAAATGATTTTATATATCCCAATTAACATGTAGCATTTAACTTATTGTAACATTTTTTAGATGGTATGACAGATATAAACCATATCAGTAGCTTATTGCAAGTATTTTTTATAAATGCATAGAAGAGTGGCAACATACTGGAAATTAAATTATGTTGAGCATATTTACACTTTAAGTTAGTTACGAATGCATCTTTATATAGAGTGCCGATGGAATAAATATTTTGAAACTTACCAAGCGTATTTCCAGTTAAGGAGACGAAGAAGACGATTATGTAACCGACTATCAAAGCCCATTCATACTGCTTAGGGTGCAGGTACTCCCGCCAGATGTACTTTAAAAGTTGCTCATCTTCATCCAGTGACTGATCGGCGCTGATGTTCAGTTCATGCGGATGCGGCGAGCGGTTCCTGTAGCCGGAGTCCATCCTGGACATGGTATGAGTAGTGTGGGGATGATCCGTCCTCCACTTCTTCATCCAGCATCTGGAGTAACATCAGAGCTGGTGCCGTATCGGTGATGAAAAGCTCCTCTGTATTTCCATTGACCCGTGACGCATGAAGGCTGTCCCCCTTATAAAAAAGGGGATATCGCTCCTATATATATGGTCAATCTGCACTATAATGTGCGGTCAGATTAAGGCATAGGTTTACTGTATAGATTAGTTTTTATCGGCCGTATACGTGTTTACATTAATTGCAAACAATTATTATACGTTGAAAATAACGTATTGGAAATCCTTAAAATGGATCTTAAAAATATGCTCAAATTTTAATGCAATTCATTATCAAGTTCAGAAAGCCCCGTATATCAGCTAGTGAATGAACGAATTGTGGCTTAATTGCAAATGGGTTTTCTTTCGGTATGACATATTTCTTATTCATACGTAATTGCCAATGCACATAAAAATAAAACCATTATTACCGCGTCTCTAAATTGGTCTTAGCATTTGCTCTTCCATACGAGGGTGTGTTGGGCTGGCCTCTCATCCAGGATGCGCCCTTTCAGTGCTTTGCGCTGAGCCCAGCCCAGAGGTCCTCTACCGGACAATCAGCCATGCAGAACGGGCGGATAGATGGCTGTATGTTATGGGGAGAGGCTGTTCTGTCCGGCCAGGCTGCCAGACATGGCGTTTTCTCAACACTTACACATTTTCCTCTGTAGTACGCGCCTGTCTGCTGGAATTGTGTCATTTAATCGAGACATAGAAAGAGTCCATATCACATTTAGTTACCTTGAGTTAACCCCGAAACATCGTTTGCAATAAAGGCGTAAATCTTGTGTGCTTCGGATTCCACATTAAGCCTCAACTCGTCAGGCCAGTAGTGGCGGACGCTCCGGTACATTTGCAGGGTATTTATAGAGCTAATGTCACTGTTGCGCGGATGACTTGTATTGACAGCTTTGTTACTGTTACGTAGCATTTTAATGTGTGACACGCATTCTCATAAATAGCCGTTTAATTAATTGTTTGGCATTTAACTCATAGCACAAGAGAGGTAGTTTAACTGAAACTTAAAGGGCAGCATTTTCCATTTTTGGAACCATTCACAGATCTTCCTATACATGTATTAATGGCTTTTTCAAGTAAAAAAAAGTTTTTGAGGCTACCATGGTATACAGACCTGGGTGTAAATTA